GGCCAGACAAGTGCCCGCAAAACAAAAAAAGAAGAGAGAGAGAGAGAACAAAAGTATAGAGAAAAGCACACTATTCGACCGCAGCTCCCCGATCGCTATCACCATCGACGCCCCCTGTATATGTAGGATAGTGTCGAAAAGCACACTATCCCCGATCCAATTTTTTTCCCACAGGATTTTCCTTATAAGGTTTTTAATGAGGCACCTAGCAATGCATATTACTAAATATGTATACTCTTTTTCCTTCACTAGGATTTTTTTCCCATGTGGTTTTTCCTAGTAAGGTTTTAATGAGGTACAATATCTTTTAATGAACATCCAAGGGGGAGTGTTATAAATATATTATATTATGGATGTTCATTTAGTACTCTGTTGTAAATAAGCTTCTTGAAGAAGCTTATCCATATGGGACTCCGTCGTAAATATGTTTATCTATTTAGTACTCTATTGGAAATAAGCCTCTTGAAGAAGCTTATCACTTCGGTACCCGGTTATAGATACGCTGTTATGGATAAATATTACCCCGGTAGAAGATTATACATACCGGGTACAATAAACTTATTCTTTCCTTATTCCGTTATGGATAAACATTACCTTCAGTAGAAGATTATATATACCTGATACAATGGGCTTATCATTTCAGTACTCTATTATGAATAAACATTATTCTCAATAAATGATTATCTATATTTGATATAATAACAACTTACACAACAGCTTATAGTATCAGCTTACACAACAGCTTTCTTTCTTCTATTTATAGAAGAGATTATCACCTTCTCTGTGTTACTTAACAAATAAAATTAGAACAGAACATCACGAGTAATTAATTACGTAGAAGTTTGATTATTTATAACTAGGAAAGAAATATTTCCATTCGTGGCCGCACAATTGGAATTGCTACGTGTAGAAATGAGAATCAGAGAGAAACATCCACGTCCTTCTATTTGCGCCGATACAATTGCCGCCTTTACGTCTCATCTCAACTCGCCACCTTTCCCTCTTGTCACCAAATTTCCCTCTCACCCCCTAAGGAGTCGTTTGGTTTCATTACAAATATGTATAATATCTTCATAAAATTCCACATTAATAATAATAATTTACTTGTGCTGTTTAAATTGGTGTCACTCCTTTTTTAATATATAGAAATAACGACTTTAATTTCTTATTTTATGTTTAATGAAAAGTTTTTATAGCTATATATTATTATTATTATTATTATTATTATTATTATATTAAAGATATGAGTTTTAAAAATTATTCTTTGTTCTTAAATTGCATAATGTCACATAAATAAAATGAAAGAAATATTTGATTACCTTTTGAAATTTGCATAAAATTTAGCATTATTTAATACTTTGTTTGGTTGGTAATTTTGCAGACTATAATTTTGCAAAATATATATTTATTATATATCAATATATAATATATATTTTATATATTCTTCGTATATTTTACTAGCGCATATAATTTTTTGCAACACTAGCTAAATGTGTAATTTGCCCCAAATAGAAAATGCAAATTAAAAAGGACCAATAAAATTAAATAGATTTAAAAAATTAAAAGGACCAAACTAACCCCTTATGAATTAAAAAAAAATTCTAAAAATAAATAAAGCACACATATTTTAACCTCTATATAATAATTCCCCATATTATTAATACCTACATAACTTCTAAACCAAACGACCCTTAAGACACTCCATCTTTTTAGCTTCTTCTTCTTCATCACCTCTCCCATTCATCCCCTTACGTAAACCATAATGCAAACTTGTATTAAAATTCTCTCTTTGTGTCGTCCAATCTAAGTTTACTCCACACCAAGTAGCAAAACAATATGATAGCAATATCATTAGAGTGACTAGTTAGATATAATTAGAATGATGGGATCAGATTCCGAAAATAATAAACCAAGAAATCTCTTTCATAGAAGAGTTCTTAAATCTTACCATAAAAGACAGCAAATACAACGTATGACTACTTCTTCTGAAGAAGAAAATGGTTGTTTTGTTCCACAAAAACGGTTTCGTGTTAAGGATGTGGGAGCGGAGGTATCAAAAAATGACAACAAAAGTAGTACTTCATCAAGTTCCAAGAGTATTATTGCAGGAGCCACGTCATCTCAAATATCAAGCCAAGAATTGAAATATGGTTTTATATCAATTTTAGGGAGAAGAAGAGTATTAGAAGATGCTATAACTGTGGCGTCTCGAGTTGCTAATAATGAGTTTGTTCTTTTTGCTGCATATGATGGACATGGAGGTAATAGGGTTTCACATGCATGTCGTGATCATTTGCATTATATTATTGAGGAGGAAATATTAGAGAGAAAAGGAAGTAATAATAATAGTAGTATGGATTGGGAGAAGGTGATGATAAAATGTTTTTCAAAAATGGATGATGAAGTTATAAGAGAATGGGATGAGGAAGAGGTGAATGAGGAGGGTGGGTATGATGACGTGGCAAGGACAGTCGGGTCGGCGGCGGCGGTGGTGGTGGTAGGGAAAGGAGAGGTGGTGGTGGCTAATTGTGGTGATTGTAGGGTTGTACTTTGTAACCGTGGTGTTGTTATACCTTTGTCCAATGACCATAAGGTCAGTACTTACCTAATTTTTTCTGTCAACTTGTTCATATTGTCGGTCTTAAGTTCGAATAAAAAATGAGAATTGCATTAGGCTGATAAGAAATTAAATAAATTATGATAAATCCTCGTCCTGAAGGAAGCGATGACTCTAATTTGTTTGAGACTGAGGCATAATTATTCTGTACATGAGTTCTTGATTTGTGCCATTTTTTTTTGTGTAGCCTGAAAGACCAGATGAGAAGAAAAGGGTAGAAGCTGCAGGGGGTAAGATTCTAAATTGTAATGGTAGTCGCGTCCAAGGAGTCCTTGCTACTTCAAGATCCATAGGTACGGTCCTTTTTCTATTTAAGTTTTTTTCTTCATTTCTTCCTAGAAATTTTTCATTTTGCTCCCTTAGTGGTTCGAACCCGCACTCTCAGACATGAGCGGAGCTAGGGTGGCAGAAGGGAATTCACTATAACTCGGCCGAGTTCTAGTGAATTCCTTCCGCCNCCGCTACCCTAGCTCCGCCCGTGCTTGAGCGTGCGGGTTCAAGTCACATATATATATATATATATGACTTGAACCCGCACGCTCAAGCACGGGCGGAGCTAGGGTAGCGGAAGGAATTCACCAGAACTCGGCCCTTCGCCATATATATATATAACTTGAACCCGCACTCAAGCGTGGGCCTCATGGGCGTGGGCCTCAAGCATGGGCGGAGCTAGGGTGGTGGAAAGGAATTCACCTATATATATATATATATATATATATATGTATGTGTGTGCGCGTGCGTGCTCTTTTATATTAGATATTGAATTTGAATTCTCTTGATGGAATTCCTGCTTCTATCATTGACCTAAGGGTTAGTGGTAAAGAGTGCTTTAACACTTGAGCAACCACTTTAAAATCATATCACCTCTTCTTCTTTTTTCTTTTCCCTCTCTCTTTCCTTTTATGTATCTATTCAACTTATATACGGTAACAATGTTATGAATCTTTACGCGATTAATATATATTTTAACGGATAAGTTGTTTTTCTTTTCCCGCTTGTTAATCAAATTTTTATGAAGGATTACCCATAAGTATTTTTGAGTTTAACCTATAAGATAATTACGGTAAAAAAGTATTTACATACTACCCTTAAGGTAATTATAGATAAATCTCTATTATAAAACACTAATGGATAATCTAGTAAATGTCACCAGTTAAAATTCAGTGGAAGTATGAAAAATCTTTATATATTTAATATCTTTATAACCTAAATCCATTATATTTTAGGTGATTTAGTAATGTGGAACTATAATTAGAAGTTGAACTCTTATTTGTAATACGATATTGGTATTAAATTTAGCTTTCTTATTATATATCCTTGCATCTCACATTTTGGTTACATAATTTCATTAAACAGGTGACCATTATCTTAAACCATTCGTGATACCAGAGCCAGAGGTGACAGTATACAAACGAGACGAATGGGATGAATTCCTAGTAATTGCGACAGATGGTTTATGGGATGTAGTTTCAAACGAGGTAACCTGCGAAGTGGTACGAAAATGTTTCGACGGACAAATTCGTCGAGGGTTACCAGGGAGAGACCGTGCGGCGGAAGCCGCCGCACTTTTGGCGGAGCTGGCCATTGCCAAAGGAAGCAAAGACAATATTAGTGTCATAGTAGTTGAGCTTGATAAATCTAGTGACATTAAAGTTTCGTGATTTCCCAAGTTTTATCTTGTTCAAAATTTTTCCACATGAGTGTGTTTTCTTGGGTGTTTAGTTTGAGAGGTTGAGTGACAAGTCCAATGTATAGTTAAAAGTGTTTTAGGTTGGTTGAGCCTTTGAGGGGGCATCATGAGACCAATCTTTAATGTATATGTACTAGAATCTTTGGGTTCGTCTCATATTGCAATAACATTTTGTTACTTAGCCTGAAAAGTTCTCTCAGGTGTCCACACCATATCCGATCAGTTTTTGAACAGAAAATACTTTTTTTGATGTTTAAAGGTATCGTCACGACAATTCATACATAACGTGAAAAGTTCATATCGATAGTATGGTAATATACATGAGTAAGAAATGAATAAAAGAGAATCTTGTCCTCAATACCAGTCAAGTATCAGAGTTGGTGTTTAGAGAGTTTCTAATAAGGCAAAAATACCAATGTGAACCATTCTATGAATGCAAGAATACAAAAAAGGGCAGCTCGATGCACTAAGCTCCGGCTATGCGCAGGTCCAAGGGAAGGTCAGACCACACGGGTCTATCGTATGTAGCTTTATCTCACATTTCTGCAAGAAGTTGTTTACACGGCTCGAACTTGTGATCTCCTAGTCACATGGCAGCAACTTTACCAATTACGCAAAGGCTCCCTTTCGAATGGAAGGATACAGAATGCAGAAAAATATAGTAAAGCTTACAACATCACAAACAAAAACCAAAGTTAAAAAGCAAAACTGATAGAAACCTTCAAGCTGCATTCAATTACAAAGGAAATGAAGACTTTAGATATAATATAGAGAAGCAAAACTTTCTTTACTTCTCAACCCCTTCACTCTTTTCTCTGTCATTTTTCTTTTCTCAATACTATGTATATAAAGTGGAGGAGAAAGAGGATGAGCACTTGTTTAAACTTGTCTCTTCACTCCTTTCTTCCTCCAACTTTTCCACCTTATTAACCTAAACCTTCATTACCTAAAGTCCTACTCAAACTGCAAACCAACCAGAAGTTGAAACTTACAGACAAACTTTCGAAAGAAAGAAAAAAAACCCAATAACGAAAAAGATAAAAAGATCCCCTTGAATGCGCCGTGTAGTATAGCACTATAGCTGCGTAGTATAGCACTATAGCTGCACAATTCTTACATTAAAACCCGAGAAAAATGTGTTTGCATTTCCACCTTCTTAACTTCTTGTTTTTCATTCAGTCTTTTAGACTAGAGTGTAGCTTGAAACTGAGACAATTGCAGGAGAAGCAGTGTGAATGTACACGAACTCGAGGCTTTTACCAGCTGGTAAAGAACTTTGCCAAGCTGGGAAGATGAACGAGTCACCGTACTTTGTAAGACCCCATAGAGGACCGTAGAGCTTGGATATTGCAAGCTTCAAGTTCTTAACTGTCTTCGCGGACTTGTTAGTAACTATTGCTGAGTATCTGTAGTAAGTCTTCCCATTCAGTGCCCATGAACTAGTTGCCCTTTGTTGAATAGCAACATGAGCATTAGCTGCAGATATATTTGTTTATTAGATTGGATAGAAAACAATCAAATATCAACATTGACACAAGAATAAGAAGTGAAAATACCTGGTACTGGAAGTACTCTTGGCCTTGGAGCTGGAGTTACTTTCCCCCTTGGCGCTGGTTTTGGAACTGGCTTTGGCGCAGGAACAACTGTAAGACGCATAGAAAAAAACTCAGCATAAAACTTTGAAGCTTACTATTAAATGACTCGTAGAAAGATTTTAACTACTACAACAACTACATCTCAATCTCAAACAAGTTGCATCAGGTTCATAGCAAGCACAAAACTAGTCAGAGGATGTTAATTCACTAAAAAAAATACCTGGTAGGAGCTGATTGTAACCACTATGACCAGCATGAAGTCTTGCCAACACGCCAATCAACGGAGCATTGTTGTAAGTGGCAGGCTCAGTTTGCTCATAGTTATCTCTTTCATCAGCAAAGTTGTCATAGGCATCAGGTCCACCAACAATGGCACCAGTGAGGAGATTAGGGTCGCTCGCCTTTCTGCTATACCAGGTTGCATATCCTCCACGACAGGTAACAAAAGTTGGATTAACCTTAATAGAAACAATGGAAGAACCTCTGTGGTGTACTTGTCTTGGGTAATTGCTTCCATATCCCACCATGTAACTTGTTGCTCTCGGATTATCTCCAAGAATGTAGTCCACCTAAAACATGCTCAAGAGTTAGTCAATTTAAATCCAATGATTTCAGGATCATAATTATCTGTCTAAATTAATATCTCTACCTGTGACTTGGCAAAAGAGAGGAGCTCATTTGGAGATACATAACCAGAAGAACACTTGAGGTATTTGCCAGCGGATGTTAAATAGTCAGAATAAACCGAGGCAAGGAATGAAGCACTAGTAACAAATTGCATATTGTTCCATCTCTGCCTGAAGATGAGACCACCAGGAGTTTTCTGTGCATTCCGGTTACCCTTTCCGAGGCACGAACACATGAAGTTCTCTGCTTTCTGTTGGTACCTCTCAAATACAAGTGTATTGTGACCAGCTTTCCCTGACATCAAGATCTGCCAACAGGTATACCAATTAGTTATTTGCCTATGAAACGACTAATGGGTCGTTTGTTTGAAGACAAGCTATGCTGGAATTAGTTATGCTGAGATTAGTTATCTTGGTATTATTTCTTATTGACTGTTGGATATGTTGTATTAATCCTAGGGTGTATCCCTCAATTCATGTTTATTTATGTTACTACAAACAACTCATTGTAAGGCAGAGAGGTTGTTTCCAGTAGACCCTCGGCTATGTTTATTAATGTTACTGTCGACTTGAAATTTGTAAACTCTTTTAACATAATTTTACCTGAGAAACAAGAGTTTGGACACCAGCATATTTGACATCCCAGCCAAATTCAGTCATGGACCAACCAGTTCCACCAAGTGCATCTCCATTCCTTCCTAAATAATTCATGTAAAATTGATTGTTTGATGCCTTGTACAACCATGCTGCTGCCCATAATAATTCATCCTGTAACAACAAGCATTCCACCAAAAAAAAGATTAAATTTTACAATTCATAAAGAAAACCATTTAAGTTATTACATTACAACAACAACAAAACCAGTGAAATCTCGTGCATCAGTCCATATCCCTACTTTATGAAGATATAGAGAGGCTGTTTCCGGTAAGTTATTATATTGACGACATAAAAAAGAGTAATTTAATTGGTTATTGCAAGTTATTAAACTATATTCAAGATTATCATATCTGGCTTGTTATACAGCATTACATGTTATTGTAGACAATGTACAAACTTAAAACACTTTAAAGACTAAAGTTGTAGGGTAGTTAATTAAAATTGTTACCTAATGACAAAGTTTAGAATTTACAGATACTAATAATAATTGAGTCTCAATCCCAAACTAGTTGATATAGGCTATATATATCCTTACTGCTTCGTTTAAATTCAACTTATGTCATTTAAATTCAACTTATGTCATCATCATACGAAATAAAATAAAAACGACATGAGACGAAAAAGAAAAGAATAAGATACTAGAATAACATACCGCGTATCCACTAACAGATCGGTAATATTTTTGGGCCACAGTAATGCTGCTATCATATTTGCCCCTATATTTGTCAGCAAATTCGAAGAGCTGAAAAAAAACAGTAACAAATTGTAAGTTTGAGCAGATAAAATGATGTAATACAATCAGAATAACAAGGGCATATTAGGAACTACGAAAAACTAATTGTTGGTAAAAGGAGTCGTGCTTCGTATGATAGTACGGTACAACTGCACCGACAGTCCACATCACGTGGCAAAAGCGATGTTTAAGGATCAAAAGATGTGGACGGTTAAGATTTGGCGAGTACATGAGATCACACGGTTACTAAAACACTACCCGTGATTAACGGCAAATCTGCTTCTTGTGGCCCCCACCACGATTCTTTATTTACGCCGAAAGATTTTGCTACCATTTACACCGGCAGCTAATGACCTAATGTTATTAATGCTCATTATTATTCAAGCTCCCAAAAATTTAATTATTTCACATTATTACAACCGTGAAAAATAAAAAAAACAAATAAGCGTATTATAAAGTTAATACTTATATTTTGTTTATGAAGAGAGTTTTGACATAACTGATAAAATTATTCTGACTCCAAGAGATCCCAGGTTCGAGCCGGGATGTTAATTGGCCAAAATTGGTGCTAGAAAAAACAATTACTAGTATGGCCCTTGACCTAACAACACCCAATGCACATGGGTCCTTTACCTTTTATAAAGGTTGGACAAGACCAACAATGTCGTAAGACCATATTTAGTGTACTAGTAAGGAAAGGAATAAATTATTTTACCTAAAAGTTTAGTATTTTGATAATATTATTAAGTTATATAAAAATAATTTCTATTATCAATAAATATTCATTTGTGATAGATTGATAGTGTGTAAATTTTTATTAATTTTCATCCTGTATTTGATATACGCTTTAGAAACTAATTAAATCAGGATTCGAATAAAAAAATCTCATATTCAATGATAAGTGTTTATTAATAAAATAATTTTATATTTAACGCTCGACCCCGAAATTTTGTATAAAATTTATTGTGGGCGATAGAGAAATGAATGAAAAGTAGCAATACGCCCCCACAACTAACCTACACCGACAAACAAGTAGACCTGACAAAAAAGCTGAGCTAAACGTAACTACCTAATTACTCGGGACCCTTAACTAACATGCGCCCTATTCCCAATATCTAACTAACATGCGCCACTATCTCAGTCCACAGTCCACACACTGAAGACCGAGCCACTTTTTAGCTTTTAACTAAAAACAAAGAAATCATTAGTACAGTTAATCATATAATTAATGAAATTTAATTAACCTGATGGGCGTGGTTAAGTAGCTCATTAGCATAGCCAGGGTTGTAGCGGCGGAAGACGATGGAAGCGGCGGCCATGGCGGCGGCAGTTTCTCCGGCAAGGTCCGAACCCGGGTGGTTCGGGTCAATTCTGTAAGCAGCTCTTGATGTCGTCATATCTTCTGGTCTTTGCCAACAGAAATGGTCTGTGTTTCCATCTCCTACCTAACAAAATCACAATCAATTCGTTAATCACCAAATACCAATTTTAAACTTAATTAGTTTCTTAAAACCCCAATTATTTACACAAAACAACATTCCATTTGGTTCAATTTATGTCTATTTTATTACTTATAAGACACTTCTATTCCATTGATAATGACATTAAGCACATGCCACTTAATTATAAAAACAAAAAAAATCAATACTTCAATTATCTGAGATAAAACTTGTAAGTGTCTACAAGGCAAACTGCAAATAGTGATAGTAAATACTTACTCACACCCGATATTAGTATTAAATCAAGCAATTTAAACATATAGTAATACATATAACTTAACCAAAATCGAGTACTAAACTTGTAAATATAAAAGTCATTTATTTCATATTTATTGAAATGTAACATCATATCAACAACAATAAACGCAGTGCAATTACACAAATGGAGTCGAGGAAGGTTAGTATATATATAGTCTTGCCCTTACCTCGTGAAGGTAAAAGCTGTTTCTTATAGACTTTCGCCTCAGGAAAAATAAAGTCACAGAATGTAACATCGGATATAGATAAAGTCATATATATCATATTCATTGGAATGTAACATCAGAACAACGATAATAATAATAGACGCGGTATAATCCCATAAGTAGGATCGAAGGAGGATAGTGTATAAGCAATTTTATTCTTAAAAAGAGAGGCTGGTTGTGATAGACTTTCGACTCAGGAAAAACAGAGTCACTGAATATAACATCAGATACAGATAAATTTTTACAGAAATAGTGAAAATGTATATTACCTCTCCATAAAGAACATAAGGTTCAGGATGAGCTTTGAGGAGATAATCAGTACCCCATTTAACAGCATCCATAGCATGACCAAGTTCACCACTAGCACCCATTTGCCTACCATATTCTAAAATACTCCATGACATCATTGTTATAGTAAATGCCATTGGCAAACCAAATTTCACATTATCTCCTGCATCATAGTACCCTCCCACCAAATCAATCTACACACAAAAAAATCCAAAAAATGTTAAACATTTTATCAAATGGAAATGCACCAAGAAAATATAAATTAGACCGGAAAAAAAAAGGCAGTAGGGTGCACTAAACTCCCGCTATGCGAGAGTCGGGAAAGAACCGGACCATAAGGGTCTATTGTATGCAAATTTAAACTGCATTTATGCAAGAAGCTGATTTCACAGCTCGAACTCATATGGTAGCAACTTTACATAAATTAGACAAAAAAAATTGAAAAAGAAATTACCCCACTAGCTTTTCCATCATTAAGACCAGAATTTCCTCTCCAATGAACTCTTTGGTTATGAGGAAGATAACCAGATCTTTGAGCTTCATAAAACAGAAAGCTCTTACTCAATGCTTCACCATAATTATGGCCAGCAAATGCTAAAGGAAGAACCCCAATTACTAAAAACAAACAACCCACAAAACTCTTCATTGTTACGCAGTCAACAAGTAATAAAGAGTGACCTAAAAAACTTAACTATGTAGATCTGTTTGTTGTGTACAAATGGTTGTGTGTTATAAGTATATATAAAATCAACAATGGCAACAATGTTGGTGTGTTTATCAGTTAAAAACTTTCTGATAAACTCACCAAAAAAGAGAGAAAAATAAAGGACTTAAAGAAGAGGGAAGTGTAGGGATTGGGAGGAAGAGGAAGAGCTTAAAGCAGTATATATGGTGGAGGGAAGAGAAGGTGCCAAAAATTCAGAAAATGTTAAGAGATTAATTAATGCGGTTTGTGTTTATTTTTTTAGTAATATTTTGGAAATTCAAAAAAATTAAAAATAATAATTAGGGGATGGAGAAAAAATGGTAGGAAAGAGGGGGTAGTGCCATGTGCTTTTGTTCGGCGCTTTTACAGTACAAAATTGAGCAGACAATTAGGGGGAGATTAAATTAGATTTGATTAAAACTTACTACTAAAAGGATGTAATGTTAATTGAGAGTTACCAAAAGGAGAAAGAAGAAAAAAGTGTGTTGTATGAAGTCAAAAGAGTCAAAAGAGTATGAGAAAATTGTCTGTACAGTGTTTTTGTGTTTCCCTTTCACACTGTTAATATAAGGAAGTAGTAGAAAATAGATTGGATAGTGATAATGCTATTTGATTTAGACTCACATTATTATAAGGTAATCCCAATTTCGATTTTTTATTTATTTAGTGTCCGGTATTCATATTTGGGTTTCACTAATTCGAATTCGTGTAGTGTAAAACTCATTCTCAGTAAGAGCAACTTGAGACCTTTGATTAAAATAAGATTTTATTCATCTCTCCACAAACCTTGATTGTCAAAATATCTAATATTATAATGTCTACCACTCTTTTATGGATTATTCTACATGTTTGATAGTCGAATTTACTGGTTCGATCAATTTGAATTCACATTTACAAATTATGTTATATGTGTAATGATCCGGCCGGTAGTTTCATGAGTAACCGCTCTGTTTACCATATTTCTGCTTCTTATTGCTTTGTTTATATGTATTATGTGTGTATCGGGTTAGTTGGCTCGGGTTCGGAGAGGTTTTGGTAAGGTTTAAGACACTTAGTCTCTTTTGAGTAAGCTTAAGTTAGAAAGTCAACCGGATATTGACTCATGTGAAAAAGGGATCGGATGTGAATTCCGATGGTTCGGATAGCTTCGGGAGGTGATTTGGGACTTAGGAGCGTGACCGGAATATATTTTGGAGGTCCGGAGTAGATTTAGGCTTGAATTGGCGAAATTGGAATTTTGGCGTTTTCCGGTTGATAGGTAAGATTTTGATATAGGGATCGGAATGGAATTGCGGAAGTTGGAGTAGGTTCGTTGTGTCATTTGTGATGTGTGTGCAAAATTTCGGGTCATTCGGACGAGGTTTGATAGACTTTTTGATCGAAAACGGAATTTGGAAGTTTTTGGGATTTTTAGGCTTGAATCCGATGTAAAATTGGTGTTTTGATGTTGTTTTGAGCGTTCCGAATATTGGAACAAGTTTGAATGAGGATATGGAATATGTTGGCATATTTGGTTGAAGTCCTGAGGCCTCGGGTGGTTGAACGGATCATTTCATGTTGGAGGAAATTGCAGAAAAACTGTTGTTGGTGTTACAGGTATTTGACCTTCGCGTTCGCGATGGATGTCCCGTGTTCGCGAAGGGTTAGGATGTGAGGCAGTGGAGTTGGCCTTCGCGTTCGCGAAGGGTTGAGGCCAGTGGCCATCGCGTTCGCGAGGGTTTAGCCGCATTCGCGTAGAGGAAAGGTGAGCAGCTGGGTCCAGGTCAATTTGTTCTTCGCATTCGCATATAGGGAGTCGCGTTCGCGATGAAGAAAAAGTGGTCAACGTAAGTTTGTGCTTCGCGAACGCGAGGTCTTGACCGTGTTCTCGAAGAAGGATAGTGAATAGCTAAGTAGAATGTTTAAAAGGCCATATCCGCGATTTTGGGTCTAAGTTTCACCGTTGTTGAGCAATTTTAGAGCTTTTCGAGGAGGATTGAAGATGGAATCAAGGGGAAACACTTGGAGGTAGGATTTATGGATTTAATACTCGATCCTAATGTGATTTTTACCTAATTATACATGAAATTTGTGGAATCTAAACCCTAAAATTAGAAGTTAGGGCTTGAAAATTGGAGACCTAAATCTAGGGATTTTTGTGGCCGAATTTCGATGTATTTGATATGTATGAACTCGTGAGAGTGTAAGGATTCTAGTTTTATGATTTTTAACGGAATCCGAGACATAGGCCCGGGGGTCGGGTTTGACCAATTTCGGGACTTTTGATGTAAATTGGTTATTTTCGAGTGGACTTTGTTCTCTTAGCATATTTTGATGGTATAAATCTGTTTTTGAATAAATTTGGAGCATCCGGAGGCCGATTCGAGGGGCAAAGGCCGCGGCCTAGAGTTTGGACCGGATAGAGGTAAGTAATGATTGTAAATACTGTCTTGAGGGTATAAAACCTCAGATATCACATTGTTGTGCTACTTTGAGGTGACGCTCACGCTAGATGACGAGCGTGGGGTCGTGCACTATTAGGGATTGTGACTTAGTCTGTCCCATATGACTGTTTAACCTCGTATTTGATTGAACATTGTTTGTTATCATTGTGTTTTGGAAAGTATCATCATGTTTTGGGCCTCGTGCCAACTCTTATGGACTCTTAGAGAATTTTTACTACTATTCCTTCTGTTTTGACTTCATATTTGTACTAAGTCATGCTGTATTCTACTGTTTTCATAACCCAGCCATGTTTACTTTGTTTTGACATTTTTAAATGATATTGTGGGATGAGTATCATGTTTTACTATGCCCGAGTGGCTTTTAGAGATTTTTAACTGAGTGGGGCCGAGGGCCTGTGTTGTGAGATTATTATGGGATCAGGTTGCACGCCACAGCGGTATTGTAATGATTCATGATTTTGAGGCCGAGGGCCTAATTTGTTACGCCACGAGGTGACTTGCTATAAGGACGAGTGCATGTTTGATTATGCCACGAGATGACTTGATATTGCGCTTGGGTTGTAAGGAGCCCATCCCGGAGTTTGTACACTCCCAATAAGCGCGGGTAGTAAGTGTGAGATGTGATATAGCCCGAGGGGCTGATGTTGTTCATTTTATTGCCCGAGGGGCTGATACGAGTGATTGTGAGATACCACGAGAGGCTGGTTCTGTTAGTATTTTGTCCGAGGGGCTGATTTGTGTATCTATCCCTTTTCTCCCTATTTTCATCACTTGTTTGAACTAATAAAAGATGTTTTGAAGAGGTTTTACTGAACTAAGGTATTTTTACGAGCTTTTACTGTTTTATTGCATTATTCTGGTTTAATACTGTTTCGTTGTAGCATTATGTTGTGTTTTACGTGTTTTCTTATCGCTCAATTGCCTTTACTTTTATTACTTACTGAGTTGGTGTACTCACATTACTCCCTGCACCCTGTGTGCAGATCCAGGAGTCTCGGGTCACGCTAGCAAGAGCTGATTGCTTTCCAGTAGGCTGTTCGGAGTTGACTAGGTAGTTGCTCGGCGTTTGCAGCCCAATTCTTCTCCTTCATACCTTTACTTTCCTTTGTACTAGCTTTGTAATAGACTGTGTAGTCTTTTCATACTCTTAGACGGATTTTTAAATGCTCATGATTGGTGACACCTCGATGTCGGGTTGTGATGTTTCTACATTATTCTATTCTACTCTTTATTTTGGGATTTATAGCTTATTTATGACTTAAAATGAATTATTATAACTGTCTTAATTGGTTTGGGGGTTTGTGTCGGCTGACCTTGTTTCACGAGATGCGCCATCACGATCGAGTCCGGTTTAGGGTCGTGACAATATGAGATTGGTCAAAATACTAAATCGATCGGTCAGCCCGAAATTAATTGCATTCACTAGCCATTCGCAACTATTATTTTTTAAAGCGATTAAAAATACATATTTCTCTATGAGATTATACTGCTCCTATGAAAGAATTCATTAATTTCCATAACCTATTGGATGATAATTTTTATTTTTCCATACTTATTAGTCTTTCGAATTACAGCTTCTTTATTTATTTTATTCTTCATTTTTTCCTCTAAATCATTTAACAATAACATAGAGGGTTCCCATTTGTCTAATTTGACCAGGGCTTTGTTAATTAGCCTGGCGCAAGTGTCGTAGTATAAGTTAATCTTGAATAGGGACAAAACCCAAAAGATTGAAAGAATCATTGTATTTGTATGTGGAAAAGATTGGCGTTCCTAATGGTCATAAAAAATCTACTCGAACAGTGTGCAAGTATTTACACGTTTCATTTACGAAGTTGAAAAATTAATATTTCAGTCAAAGGTAAAGTCCACTCGCCACAACTAAGTTCAGAGGAATTATCTTTTGTTCATAATCTTTTTGTTTTTTCATTCGTTATTCGATATTTATGTTAAGATCTTGATTAATTTGAATTTATATTGCGTAAAATTTCATCTCCTCCGGACGATCGATAATTCTTTTTAACAGTTCTGTCTGCCCATCTGAGAACGACGCCCTTCTACGACTCACCCTTCGTACTCAGAGATTGAAGAAGACCACTTTATACAACGATAAATACAAGATCTCTATATGTTAATAGATACCCGAGAGACTGAGTCCTTGGGGAAGAGAGAAAGGAGACATTACTAACTAAAAAAAAAATGCTCCTTCCAACAAAATTTAATACACAAAGTTTAAGCTCAAGATCTCTAGTTAAGAATCTTATTCCCTTCGGCATGACCTTAATTGTGTTTGCTCTTAAGCCTAACACTTTATACCAAGGCAAACACATAGAATGACCTAACGTTTTAAGTCAATGCTTTTTAGAGTATTATGCACTAGTGTATTATTATTTCAAATAGGTAAATGTTAAATAATAGATATACATATTTCTAAAATACTTCTAGTACTGTATATATGTATATTTTGAGTTACAATCAATAAATGCGCTTATATACCTCTCACATCAAATATTAATTAGTGCATTTGCATTCTACTTTTATCTTTAATATTGTTGGTAAATCCTCACTTTGGTTGCTCGTCAAAAATTTATATATATGTATCTAAAGGTACTGTTGAGGAACTGAAAAACTTTTCCAAACACATGATAGGTAATTAATGTTTGGATGGTTGTTATGTATCATTTCATGATGTATCTTATCGTATTATATTATATTGTAT